CTCCTCTCCATCCTCCTCTTCTTCTTGCTCATGGGATAATAAGACAACTATGCACCATAGAAGCAAGATTGGTCCAAGACACTGTTCACAGGTCAGATAACTGGGCACATTGTGCACTAAATTATGAATGTGCTTATCTTTGCTTTATGCCACTGAGCTTTGAAACTATCCTTTATCCTGAAAAGACTATGAGGCACCCCGTGAGGCAATTTCAATCATTATCATAATGATTTCAGTAGTAGAATCAAATCATATGTAGTTGTTTCTCTAAAATTAATATGAAATTGCTTCATGGGTTAGCTGGGAGGTACCTAATGACTTTGATTATCCTCATGGGATGATCAATGAATGAAGTCTTAATCTTGCCATTTTGAATGGAATAAAAAAATTAGAGTGAAGATTGTTTAATACTTATGGGAAATGTTGGAAAATTTAACAAAAATTATGAACCACAGGAAGACATAATCAAGAGAACCCTCCTGAAATGTCAAGTTTCGGCTGTGTAAGTCTGTGTCTGCTTGCAGTCGTTTCTCTGTCCTGCTGTGCTTTGTAGGTACACTGCATAACAGAGCTTGTAGCTTACATCTGTGCTTGACCCTTAAAAGTATTTAATAGCCGGGCATGGTGGCAATGTCTTTAATACCAGCACTCAGGAGCACTGTGAGAGCGAGGTCAGCCTGGTATACATATCGAGTTCCAGGCCAGCTGGGGCTACAGGGAGAACTTCCTTGTCTTAAAAACAAAACAAAACAAACAAACAAAAAACAGAACAAAACAAAAAACTTATATTTAATTATACAAATAATGTAAAAATAAAATGAACCATTGCTTCGGTGTCTTCAGTGCAACCCCAGGCCTGCTGGGTAAAGTACTGTTAGCAGATAGCATGTCTGTCTACCGTCTCTGTTTTGTCTCTACATGTACTTGTGGGAAATACGTACATGGGTACTTTTCTTCCTCCTTGGTTTATAAAAACAAGCATTGAACTGTGGTTCTGCACTTTTTTATTTTTGTTCAGTGATGTATCTTGGAGGTATTATTAAGCTCCAAGATCTATGTTATTCTATCTGTTGTTTAGGATTCTACAGTGTGGAAATGTTTTTAAAAAATAATTGTCACATGATTAGCATCTCTCCCTTTTATTGTTATTGCAAATCATGGAATAATTATCCTTATGCACAAGTGTGAATAATTTTCAAGGGGAGGTAATTGGAGAGTTGTGTTCCTGGGTCAGACAGTATTTATTTATTCATTTATTTATTTATTTATTTATTTGCATTAGTGCTTTGCTTGCGTTTATGTAAGTACACCATATGCATACAATGCCCATGAAGGCCAGAAGACAACATTAGATTTTTTTGGAACTGGAATTACCACCATATGGGTGCTGGGAACTGAACCTGTTTTTAATGCAAGAGCAGCTAGTGCTCTTAACTGCCAAGTCGTCTCTCCAGCCTCAGACATTATTTATTTATTTATTATTTATTTAATTTATTTTTGTGGTACTAGGGATCAAACCCAAGGCTTGTACATGCTAGACAAGTGCTCTGTCACTGAGCATTATGCATTCCCAGCTTTGTTATATCTTTAAAAAATTAAAAAAAATTAAATTTATGTTGATATGTCTGTGTGAGCATATGTGTGGTTCCCATGGAGGTCAGAAGAGAATGCCAGATCATAGGTAGTTGTGAGCTGCCATGTGGATGCTGGGAACTAAATTCTGATTTTCTGCAAGAGCAGCAAGTGCCCTTGCCTGCTGTATCTTAATATACATCCTCATCTCACTGTGAACGCTTGAAGTACTTTTGGTACTGTTCTGATTTAGATTAAGATCTGCTAAAATGGTGGCTATTTCTGGACTGTTTCATCTGGCTCTTAATATTACATTCAATGGACATACTACTTTATTATAAGGAGATGTAAAATAATGTGTTGATTATATCACTTGCTAAACAAAAATATTTTGTCATTGAAAGAAATCATCATAGCTGCCGGAGAATTTATTTTCCCATTGAATTTCATAAAATAGTGGGACATATATACCAGGGTTGAAACCTCTCCTGACTGCCCTGCATTCTCTCATGGTGTCTTGTGGGAAGTCCAGCTGTTTGGTGAGGGTGGTTGAGACCCTTTTGAATTCTGAGCGAGGCTGGCGGGATGTGGTCCTGCAACAAGAGCTTCAGTTCAATTGTTCTGCTTCCTCTCCAACAGATCATAGACACATTTCCTTGGCTGTGTTGTGATTGGCAAACCCTGGCTGTAACTAAGTGCCTTGGAGGTTTTGTTTGGCACCTTGTAGATTGCTGTACATGAGTCATGGCAACACTTGTTGTCAAGTTCAAGACTGCATGATGACTTTTGCATTCATGAGTGTTTAGTTTGCTTTCAATTGCTGTGATAAAAACACTGGACCAAAACCAACTTGAGGAGGAAAGGGTTTATTTTATCTTACATCTCCCAGGTCACAGTTCATCGAGAAGTCAAGTCAGGAACTCAGGGCAGGAACCTGGAGGCAGGAACTGAAGCACAGACCATGGAGTTATGCTGCTTACTGGCTTGCTCCCTGACCTGTGCTCAGCCTGTTTTCTTACCTGCCCAAGACCACCTGCCCAGGGGTAGCACTGCCCACAGTGGGCTGGACCCTTTTACATGACTGAGCAATCAAGAAAACACTCCAAAGACATCACCACAGGCCAATCCAATAGAGAAAATTCCTCAGTTGACGTTCCCTCTACCCAGGTATGTCAAGTTGACAACTGAAGCTATCCAGCACAATGCGTATATCAGACACTAGTCATTGGCAGTTGAGTAGTCTCTGGCATTCATCAGTGGTTTTCCTGATGTGTCTTCTGAGGATATCCCACAAAATTCTCCTTTATGTGACCACTTTCATATTCCTTAAAATAAATGAATAGTTTTCTTGCATGTGTTTCACAAAGACCACTGAGCCTGGAGACTTCACAGAGCTGGCTACACTCATGTGTCTGTTTTAGTCACTTTTTCATTACAGTAACAACATGTCTGACTGAAGCAACTTAAGGCAGGAAGGGTTTGTTTTGGCTCACAGTTTGAGAGCACAGTCCATGATGGTGGGGAAGACATGATGGCAGGAGCATGAGGCAGCTGGCTACATTGCAGAGAGATGTTGTGTCTCTCTTTTGTTGTTTGGGGCCCCTGTCCTTTGGGTGGTGCCACTCAGACTTAGGGTGGGTCTTCCCACTTCAGGGTTGGGTCTTCCCACCTCAGGTAATCTAATCTAGAAACTCCCTCGTAGACATGTCCGGAGTTAGCTTGTAAGGTGATTTTAAATCCTGTCAAATTGACAATACAAACCATCATGCTGCTGAACTAAGGAATTATCCTTAATGGATACACACATCGGCATGGGGATCAGGAAGAGAACCAGAGGTGGCCAACTTGGACCCACCCTTCCAACTCTGCTACACAGGTGTGTTTACTTGGCTTGTAGTTTTTCTTTTTTAAACATTTAAATCAGTTGTCAAGTAGTAGAAACTGGAAATTTTTACCCCCAAAAGTCAAAATATATGGCTTATCTTGAAAAATTGGAATGATTTGGCTAGGCCTTCAGCAGCTGTCAGTGGGGCCAGGGCTGTTTTCTTTTAGGAGCACAGAGTTTCTGTAAATCTTCATCCTTCTGCCTCTCATCTCACATACTCATCGAGAATTACTTTCAGGACACCAGAGAGACTGTGAGTTTTAGAGGAAAAGGTGAAATGAACCATTGGGAAGGAGGCAACCATTTACATGTAAGTCATGTGATCTTGGAGAGGCAACAAGACCAGAGAGTAGCTGATCATTTTCATATGTGCTCAAGAATAATGAAAATTGTCCCACAGGATGTAGCATTTTATTTATTAATTAATTTATTTTTATTGATTCCAGAATTTTATACAATGTACTTTGATCCTATTCAGACCTATTCCCCTCTCCATCAGAGTCAGTTTTCCTTACTGGTGTGATGCCTGGTAGATTAACTAGACTCCAGGGCATGGACCCATATCCAGGGGCTATCTACACGATCATATCAATTACAAATAAAAATTTGACATTTTTTTCCCAAAATTTGACACTCATTCATGACATTTTTATTTATTTATTTATTTGAGACAGTGTCTCCCTATGGCTCCAGCTGGCCTGGAAATCACTATGTAGGCTAGGCTGGTCTTGATCTCACAGAGCTCACCTGCCTCTGCCTCCTGAGTGCTGGGATTAAAGGTGTGAACAACCACATTTGGCTTAAGGAGCAGGTTGCCCAGGCTGCCCTCGAACTCTTCATCTTCCTGCTTCAGCTTTCTGAGTTCTAGGATCAGAGGTGTGGGCTGCTGTGCCCAGCTTGAAGACTAATTCTCTCTCTTTCTCTCTTTTTATAAATTTAAAATTTTATGTATATGAATGTTTGTCTGCATGTATGTATTTGTGCCCTGTGCACACAGTACTTGTGGAGGCCAGAAGAGGGTATTGGATCCTCTGGAGCAATGAGAGCCACCATGTGGGTGCTGGGAACTGAACCTGAGTCCTCTATAAGAGCAGCAAGTGCTCTTAATTGCTGAGTCATCTGTCCAGCTCCACAAAGATCAATGTTTTTTTTTTTTTCTCTTTTTGAGACTGGGTCTCTGTTTTAGCTCCAGCTGGCCTGGAACTCACTATGTAGACCAGGCTGGCCTTGAACTCACAGAGATCCACCTGCCTCTGCCTCCTGAGTGTTAGGATGAAAGGCGTGCACTACCATACCCACCTGAATTCTTCAATGCCTTATCTCTCTACCACCCAGGGACTGCATCATTGTTTCCTGGGCTGTCTTTTGCCTTTTTTGCACCTTGAGAATGAGGTCAAAGTGGTCTGAGCATAGCACATTTCTGGGTAGTATTTTCTACACATTTGAAATACAAAGAAAACTTCTGCCCAAGCTTTCTTTGTGCTGACTCACAGGACAGATTAACATTCTTCCTTATGCTTGTATTTTGGGGGAACTTTACTAGGAAGCTGGTGATCATCCTTTGGAAGTCCCAGTTACTCGGGAGCAACTAAACCACTACAGGAATGTGGTTGAAAATGTTCGAAGTGAACTTGCAGCAACTTTGGTCAAATTCGAGTGCACTCAGTCTGAGGTGAGTCAGCACATCTTCAACTCTCAGAGGTGGGTCTTTTTTAGCATCTTATGGAGTGAAACAGAGTGTAGAGGGTTAGAAGCAGGATATAGGAAACAGATTTAGATATTTTGGCCAAGTTTATTTTTATTCTCTTATTGTGTCCTTAGCCTCTCCAGCAATATATTGAATTTTGGATCTCAGAGATGGCTCTGTATCCTTGGGCAACCTGGGGGCACTGAAGACTTTGGGTTGAAGTCAAATGGGTCTCGAGGGAACTCCGTAGCCCCTTTTGAAATGTCTTCCTTTAAAGTGGGTTGCTTGCAACCCAGAGCTCTTTTTAAAAAATATTTTATTTATTATTTTTATTTTCTGTATATGGGTTTATTGCCTACATGTATGTGAGTGCTCCTGTGTCAGGTAGGTCAGAAGAGGGCTTTGGATTCCCCTGGAACTGGAGTTAAGGACAGTTTGTAGCAGTTCGTAGCTGCCATGTGGGTGCTGGGAATCGAACCCTGGTCCTCTGCAGGAACAGCCAGTGCTCTTAACTGCTGAGCGATCTCTCCAGCCCTGTAATCCAGAGCTCTTAAAAAGGAGTTCTGGATTCCTTCCTTGTGGGAGTTCCGGTTGGCTGGGAAAATTCTAAGGTACACTGCATCTGGAGTATACCAGGGGCCTCCATAGACTCATTCTGATCCTGGCCCAGTGGCTGTGAGGGTCTAGGCTGGCATGTGAGGTAATTAGAGGTGTCACTGAGTGTGCCGGGAACCTGCTGAAAGACAAGCCAGTCATTAGCGTGTGAGACTCTGCATGCATGCACACGAAGTGCTCTGAAGAACTGCATGCATCATAGACTTTCCTGCAGAGGAGACCCAACACCCCAGTCTGTAGGACACATGTGTCCTCCAGCATTTGACACCCCTGAATTTACAAAAGCCGAACTGTTTACTTTGTGTTCAGAAATCTGAATATTGCTTTTCTTTATCACCTTCAATTATGGTTCAAGAAAGCAAATGGGAGAAATACAGTGATATCCTGAACATCTGGATTTGCTTGCGAAACAGTTGTGGCCATGAAATCACAGTGTGGCTTGGAGATTCCCCAAATCATTCTGTATCAGCAGCAAAAGGAGCAATACTGATGAAGTAAATGGGTTCCCATTGCAAAATATTTTATTGCTTTTTGCAAGATCCACCACAAGTATTTCCTGGGTGGGATGAAATTAACTTCAGACATTGCCCTTTTTTGTGTGTGTAGGCTGAGGATTGAACTGAAGATCTCATGCATGCTATACAACTGCTTTCCACTATGCTGTGTCTCTTTAGTGACTTAAATGAAAATAACCCTCATAAGCTTGAGTATTTGAATTCTTGGTCATGGAAACTTTAGGGGGTGTGGCCTTGCTGGAGGAAGCATGACCAATTTTTGAAAAAGATAGACTATGAAGACCAGTATTCAGGTACAATTTCCAATTAGTAACTCAAATACAAATATAGGAAAAAGAAAATGAAATTGGATTAAGTCATGAATAAAAAAGTAAAATTTTAAATTCTGGTTTGGGGCTGCTTGTCAGTACTTCAAATGGCACAGCGTTAAATCTTCCCAACTCTTCTTTTAACCTCTTTCCATGTTAGCTTCGAGACCTCCGTTCCAAGATGCTTTCTAAAGAAGTTTACTGTCAGGAGCTGAAGGCTGAAATGGAGAGCTACAAAGAAAATAACGCCAGAAAGTCATCTCTCCTCACCTCTTTGAGAGACAGAGTTCAGGAACTTGAGGAAGAATCAGCAGCACTTTCCACTTCTAAAATCAGAATAGAAATCACAGCTCACACCGCAATAAGGGAGAACCAGGAATTTGTGAAGAAAGTTCTAAAACTAGAGGAGAAGTTACTGTAAGGAAGCTTCAGTGTTTCTCAATTTCATGAGTTGTCATACTACCTTTTGATCAACATACATCTTGAATGTGCTTTGAATATTTCACATTATTTGACCTTAAAATTTAATTAAAAATTACAGACCTCAAATATCTTTGCAGTCTTGCAGTTTGCTCAAGCTTGTTTCTAAGTGACATCAAACACAGCTTTGTCTTGTAAATGCTTCTTGTATGCATAAGTGGAAGATTCCCTATAAGAAGATGCTTAACCTTGAGGTGTCAGGGAAGCCCACAGAAGACAATGTTTATTTGGAGGCTAGCTATAAAAACACCAGGAAGCCAGACCATCTTGGAACATTCCCCGTTAGGTTTTGCTGCATATTTATGTAGAGGACTTATGAAAGTCGGTATCTTATACCTAGCTCTGACACGAAGTCATTACTAAAACAAAACTGAACTGGTTTCTTTGCCTTTAATCCCAGCACTCGGGAGGCAGAGGCAGGAGGATCTCTTTGAGTTCAAGGCCAACCTGATCTACATAGTGAATTCCAGGACAGCTGGGGCTACAGGGAGACCCTGTCTCACAAAAGACCAAAAAATTTTTTAAAAATTCTATGAATGACTTTATTTTTTTATAAGACAGGGTATTACTATGTAGCCTTAGATTTGAGATCGTCCTTTCTCTGCCTCCTGAGTGCTAGGATTACAGGAACATTACACCATGACTAGCTTTGAATACCCCTATTATTGAAGTAGTGGAGATTATTTACTTATACCATCTTTAAAAAGAATTAACCAATGATTTCAGTTCTTGTCTTCTTCCATTTATAACAGAACTCCTTTTCTTGTTTGTTTTTGAGACAGGGTCTCCCTGTGTAGCCTAGATAGTCTTGAACTCAGTCTTCCTTTCTTGTCCTCCTGAGAACTGGGATTACAGGGATCATGAACTGTTTTCACAAACCCATGTGTCCAGTTTCTCTTTCATCTGCTCCATTGAAATGACTCAGTAAGACCAACCAGGGCAAGTTCATGTTCAGTCTCTGCAGCGTCTGACAACTGGTTTGTGAACCACTTTCCTCAGTTGGCTTCCAGGGTACTACACACAACTAACCTGTATCTTACTTTTCTTCTGGGTGTTTGTCCTCATCTCCATGTACTGGGGTGCCTCATGTCTCAGTCTTCGACTGTCTTCTTTTTCCATGTCATTTCCTTTCTCAGCTTTAAGTCTATCTATCTAAATGCTGCTACCACAGTTCTATATCTAGCTTGAATCTCTTCCCAGAGTGCAAGACAAACAGATCTGGCCTTCTACTGGACATCCTCAGGTAGATACCCAGCAGGTACTTCAAACTTATTATGTTCCAAACAAAGTTCCTGATGTCACTGTATCTTCCTGTGCTCATCTGATTTGGTAGTGATTCCATTCTTCTAATTTTTAGGTTAAAAAAAAATCCTTGGTTCTGTTTTCTTTCATATTTGTGTCTATTTAACAAATCCAATCATATCTATCTTAAAATAAAACTCAATATTGAATACTTCTCATCTGATACCCCAATAACACTATCATGTCTCACCTGTATTTATGGCAGCAAGTATATGCTATGGTAGCACCCCACTCCTGGTACCCATTTTTTCTTTGATTAATTTGGGGTGCTAAAAATATGACAAACCAGATGGCTTAGCTAGCAGAAATTTATTCTTCATATTTCTGGGGCCTGGGGAGTTCAAGATTAAGGTGCTAGCTGATTCCTTTCTTGATGAGGACCTACTTCCTGGTTTGAAGATGAATTTCTTCTTGTATCCTCCCATAGTGGAAGATCTATCTCTTTCATGTCTCTGCCTAAAACATACTTATCTCATTCATAGGGTTTTACCTTCATGACTTAATACCTAGCTTGTGGAGGCCTCAGCCCCACATACTGTATCTCACTGGGGGTTAGGGATTTAACATAGGAATTCTGGAGACACACAAACACTCAGTACATAACAGTGTTTTTCTTTCTTCTGTCGATGTCCCCTGTAGCCAGAATGATCCCATTAAAGCACAAATAGATCATGTCAGTCCTTAGCTCAGGGTCCTTCAGTGATTTCTCTTCTTACTTAGGGTAAAGACTTAGTGTTTTCATGACCTAAAAGTGCTAATTTGCTGATGTTGACTGTCTCTCCCTTATTCTTTCTGGTCCACAGCCCTGGCTTCTTTCCTTTTTCTTTCTTTCTTTCTTTCTTTCTTTCTTTCTTTCTTTCTTTCTTTCTTTCTCTCTTTCTTCTTTTTTTTTTTTTTGTCTTTTTGAGACAGGGTCTCTCTGGAACTTACTATGTAGACCAGGCTGGCCTTGAACTCACAGAGATCTGCCTGCCTCTGCCTCCAGAGTGCTGGGATTAAAGGCATGCACCACCATGCCCGGCTCTTTCCTGTTTCTTAAACTGGACAGATACAATCCTACCTCAGGACCTTTTCAAGACCTCATCCCCCTGTTGTCAGAGCACTTCCACAGTTACCATGGCTACCTCTGAGCTATGCGCTCATTCAGAAGGACCTTCTCTTTCAGCCCTGCTAGGAATGCCACATCTGAACTTTTACCTCTCTTAATCCCTTCCTTCCTTCTTTCCTTCCTTCCTTCCTTCCTTCCTCCCTCCTTCCTTCCCTTCCCTCCCTCTCGCTCTTTCTCTCTTTCTCTCCCTCCCTCTCTTCTCCTTTCTTTCTTTCTTTCTTTCTTTCTTTCTTTCTTTCTTTCTTTCTTTCTTTCTTTCTTTCTTTCTTTCTTTCTCTAAGACAGGATCTCACTATGTAGAACTGGCTGGCCTGGAACTTGCTATGTAGACCAGGCTGGCCTCAAACTTACAGAAAGAGATCCACCTGCCTCTGCCTCCTGTGTTGGGATTAAAGATATGTGCCACCACACATGCCCTCCCAATATTTCTGACTCTCTTTCTTGCTTGATCATTTACTTCCAGTCCTTTTATAACACATTGTATATTTTATATGAATTGACATTTTGATTATTGTCTGTCTTTTCAGACATGACATGAGTCATGAGGGCAAGGACTCTATTTTGTTTACTCTTCTATCTTTAGCACCTTTAATAGGGTCCAGGGCATAGTAAGTGCTGATTAATTATCCACTACATAAATATGTAATAAAAATGTCATATCCACTAGATAAATGAGTAATAAAAATGTCATACACTTATTGTAAAAAAACTTTTTAAATACAGAAAATGCCAAGAAGAAATGAAAAACTTATTCAAAACTTTTGTTTATAGAAAAGCTTATAATGAACACTTTTTGAACATATTTTCATACAGTTTCACCTAAATAACATTATGTAATATAGTATATGTATTTTTTTCTTTTGAGACGGGGTCTCATTTTGTAGCCCTGGCTGTCCTGAAATGTCACTAAGTAGATCAGGCTGGCCTTGAAATCACAGAAATCCACCTTCCTGAATCCTGAGTGCTTGTATCAAAGGTGTGTGCCACCATGCCTGGCTCAATACACTATTTTTACTGAATAATACATTGTTGATAATTTAAAGAGTCATTCAATTTATAATCTTAATGGCCCTTTATATTCCATTGCTAAAATAGCTTAATTGACTCAACCAGTTCTTTTGCTCTTGTCTATCAACACTTACACTAATTTTATTACAAAATTAGTGGGGACTAGAGAGATGGCTCAGCAGTTAAGAACACTGGTTGCTCTTGCAGAAGATCCAGGTTCAAATCCCAGCACCCACATGGCAGCTAACAACTTTCTGTAACTCCAGTTCCAGGGGATCCGACAGCCTCTTCTGTCCTCCGCAGGCATTGCATGACATGGGTGCACTTACCTACATGCAGGCAATACATGCATATGCATAAAATAAAAATAATAAATAAAAATTTAAAAAATTTAAAAAACCACAAAGCAAGCTATAACGGACATACATAGACATTCCTATTTTCATATTTATGTGATTATTTCCTTGAGGTAGGCTTCTGGAATTTTATTGGGTGAGGTGAAAAGCAAATAGCTGTGGTCACAGTTTAGAGACCTTTGCAGTAGAGATGTAAGTTTTAAATCTTGGGGATAATGCATGGGATCACATATGCAAATCTATCAGAGCCACAGCATTTATTGTGCCTTTCATGAGCACAAAAGACAGAGATGCATTGATGTTAGCCATTTATTGTTACATTTTTCTAAATGGAAATATGATATGCTTTTGAGTACATGCAATTACATGCTTTGTTAATCTGTGAATAGAGTAAAAAAATTGCAGTAAACACTCAACGTGGGAAAAAGAGAACGCAATAATCATGTTTATTGTCTAGGATACTGAAAAATGATACTAAATTACTGAAATGATTCTAATTTGTCTTAAAAGTATATCTATTTTTTGATGATCTCTTAGTCCTGAACATTTAAAGCATTAGAAATGAGCTATGCTATTTCAACAAATCTGTAACAAACCTAAAATCTCCTGATTTTTCCTTTAGATTGGTCAGTTTCATACACTGCCAATATTCCAAAGATTCTGTGTGTAGCTATTCATAAGGAACTTTTCTGGTCCTTGAACACTTTTCTTTCTGGAGGTGGAACATTGCCTGCTCCAGATATCTATCTTTGTATCTATATACATATCTGTTTGTGCATATTTTTATCTATGTATCTACCTATGAGTCTATGTATATGCCTATCTATCTATCTATCTATCTATCTATCTATCTATCTATCTATCATCTATCTATACATGTATCTTTGTATGTATGTATGCATGCATGTATCTAAGTATCTATGTATTTATATCTATCTTTGTATGTATGTATATATCTAAGTATGTATGCATGTATATATCATTGATCTATCAATCATCTAAGTATCTATGTATGTATGCATATATCTATGTATTTATGTATCGATGTATCTTTGTATGTATATATGTATCTAAGTATGTATGAATGTATGTACCTATCATCTATCTATCTATCTATCATCTATCTATCTATCTATCTATCTATCATCTATGTGTCAATGCATCTCTCTATGTATCTGACTGTATCTATTTTATAATTTATACTTGGCTGTGAACCAGAACTCTTAGAGATCACTGCATAATATTTAAGAATGAAATGAAACTTGGTCCTTTAGCCATACAAGGTCATTCTCCTTCCCTGTGGAGGCCCCAATAGAGACCCAGGGGCTTGGAGGTTGTGACCACAGACAAGGCACAAGGTCTGTGGATGTTTATCTTCACCTCTGCAAATTTCAATGGCTTAAAAACAGGAGGCAGAGACTCCTTCCCTCCTCTTACATGATATCCTGTAGACATCATGAAGATTTAGCTACATTTCTGCAGTGTGTAAGTGTCCTGATATTGCTTTGACATTCCTCCTTTCCTAACAGGACTTGGTTGATAATAATTTGCAGTGTGACTGGGAGGCTGTGTTGTATTGAAAATGACAGTTATTTTCCACAGACAGCTCAAGTCCTGACTTGCTTTGATGAGTGTTACCTGCTGTGGTACTAAACCTTGATTTATTTTTATTTGCTTGATAGAAACTGTTCAAAGGAAAGTGAGGAGACTAAGAAACAAGTTTCAGAGAATTGTAGGAGACACGAGGAATTTCGAACTCAGCTTCATGACTGCTTGGGTCTAGAAGAGAAGCAAGACGTGGCATCAGATGAAGATTTAATTTTAAAGGTGTTTGCATGCAGATTAAAGACACTGTAAAAACAGAGGCCATTCTAACATGTGACAGGGAAGGAAGTGCTGTGGTTAGTTTTGGGGTGGCAGGAGATGGGGACAGGAGCCCAAAGGTAACATTAATGAAGTGTGTGACCTCTATGATCCTCAATTCCAAGATCTTTCCTAGCATTATTGGAGATTAGTCTCTAAAAGGGATTGATTATTTTATCTAAAATATATTTAGATTGCCAAATACAACTATTTATTCATCTTAATGATGTATTTGTGAGTGATTTTTCTTTTAGTTACAAACACAAAAAAATGAGATGTATCATTTAAAAATCTTTATTACAATTTTAAATTAACATGCACAGCATTAGGTTTCATTGTCATATTTTATTAGTTTCTGCTGTTCCCCCTCCCCCTCTATTCCTCTACCCCTGCCCCGTATCCTTTGAAGAAGGGGGCGGGATGAGAGGGACATGGGACATGAAGTGCGGGCCACAGGCTGTGGTGTCCAGCCTACTGCCCTCTTACAGTATATTTAACAAACTATTCTCCCTCTGCCAAAAGGAGTGCAAAGAGACATGTCATTTTGGGCATAAGTATTAAGTATAAGGTTAGAATTAGCTCTAAAGTACTTTAAAACTTTACATTGAAACTAATGAAATCATCAGGTACGGTGGCACAACCTTTAATTCCAGCACTTGGGAGGCAGAGGCAGGTGTATCTTTGTGAGTTTGAGTTAGGCCAGCCTCACCTACATAGTGATTTCCAGGTCAGCTGGGGCTACAGAGAGGTCCTGCCTGAAAAACCCCAAAATTAACCAAAGAATCAAACAACAAGATCAACAACACCCCTAAAACGAACAAAATCTTATTTATTGCCAAATCACTATTAAGACGGAAATTAATGATACCAATTGAATAGTTTGCTTGGTGCAGGGTATTTTCTCATTCATAAACCTGACAAACATTTGGGCAGACATTTTTATAAGTCACTTTAGTTGTCTGCCACTCAAGTGTCTCCAGTGTCTACTCTGCAAGCTCTAGCAAGAGTCCACTGTATAGGGTAAAGAATAGATTACCTGGGGTCCTCACAGGTGCTAGATGGGCCTACTCCTAGCTAACATAGGACCAGGTGCTCCCCTACACAAGTCTGCTTTTCCATGCAGTTTGGGGATCATCTTTCAAGGCAAGCGGTAGACATAGCAAAGAGAAATTCAAAAGCTCCATCTTTGTGACGCCTTTCCTTTCATCAGAGACAACTTAAGTGTATTCAGACGGATTCACCTCTATTAAGTATGCCCCCTTATTTTCTGTATTCCTCATGCTTTTCCCTTACTGAGTAGGAGAGTCCACTCCTCCAAGAGCCAGCCAGCTTCTGCAGATGTTAGGTGACTTCCTGATAGTGCAGCTTTCACACACAAGCTAATACCAGAGCCTACTGGCAGCCACTCCTGGATCTTGCACTCCTGATCACTGCCCTGCTGCTTTGTTCACCCCAGAGCCAGGTTCCAGATGGCACTGGACAACTTCTACACCCTAGAGCCACTTAAATTATACTGTCAGTCCCAAGCCTGCTCACTCTACCTTGTCCATTGTTTCCCGGAGAAGTCACAGGAAGCCTGTTGTCCACCTTTCCCTGTTCCTCTGCCTCCCCACTGGCCCCAGGGTTTTTCCAAGGGGCCCTGCAAGAGAACCTACGAGTAATGAATGGTGATCTCTTCAATAGCAGTTGTCTAAAGACCTTTTGGCTTTGCCGTACCTGAAAATAAGTACAACCTATATTTCTAAACAGAATAGAACTCTAGAGTTTTAGCACCCAAACCTGAGCAGGTGTTCATCTTAAAAAAAAAAAGCACTGATGAACAGGAAGTCTTGTGTTTTGATTAAGATCACAGCCTCATTACATGTTCCTATAAGTGGAAGAAAATTGCTCCAACATCAAAGCTGTTCTTTCACTTTGCATGCCTTCCTAAACTCATGTGTACACATGCATGCCTGTGAATCCGTGATACACAAGGGAACCATTCAATTTTTAAACAATTTTTATTATTTTAATTTTATGTATATGAGTGTATTGCTTACATGGATGTAAGTGCATCTATGTTGTGCAATGCCTGACAAAGTCAGAAGATGGGGTCAAATTCCCTAGAACTGGAGTTACAGTTGTTAGTGCCATGTGGATGTTGGGATTTGAACCCAGTGCTGCACGAACGGCCAGTGCTCTTAACCACTGCGCTATCTCTCCAGCCCCCAAAGGAGCCATTCTTAGTAATCTATTTAATATTCATTCATCTATTTCATCAATATTTAGTTGAGTATGTACTATGTGCTAGGCACTGTTTTGGGTGCTGGGGTTGTGGCAGTGAATGACACAAGACTAATTTTAGACTCTGAGAGTTTTCATTGTACGGGGTCAAGATGGTGCAGAGGTATAATTGTAATATCATCCCGTATAGTAAAAGGCACAGTGAAGAAAAACACCTGGCGATCAGGATAGGGAATGAAGGAGGTCAGTGGTGTGGGACGTTGGCTAAGGTAGACTGACCAAAGGTGTGCTCCCCAAGAGACAGGGACTTAGAAAGATGCCGAGGAGTGAGCATGGGACTGTAAGGAAATGTCCTAGAGGGAACAGAGTCTGAAATGGTGCCAGTCTGGCAGAGTACAGGGGCTGAGAGATGTGCCACTACTGTAGTTGGTCAAAACACAAATACGTGGAGTTTCAAGTCTTGCCTTAGGCATTGTCATGGCCCTGTAGAGTGAACTAACCTGTATGATTGAAGCCCTCAGGTCAAGGAACCAACCCACTTTCATCTCCCACCTTGTAAATCTTACAAATGCTTTCAGTGAACAATTTCAATATACAGCACGGAAGGCAGAGGACTGTGAATCCCAACCACCATGGTAACTGTCACTTGAGCAGTCTTGGCAAGATTTTTTTGTGCTTACGTTAGTTAGAAAGATATTGATAAAAATGACTGTCCTGTCTTCTTGGCATTTCCACCGGTGCTGGTGCCTTGCACACAGTAGGTCCAGTTGGATGTGGGCTAAGGACAGCTCCCTTATTCCTGTTGTGATCTGAGAACATCGGATTGCCTCCAGCCCTCTGCAGTCAGTCAGTGCTTGACCAAGCTTCCCCCCACCCCCATCATCTTTGCTTTCAGGCCACCTTTGAATAATTTAAATTTGACCTCTGAGTCTGCCAAGAGTCTGCCTTTGAAAATGTGATGCTTTGCATCCCTGTAGGGCCAGTCCTGTACTGTTTTCATAGAATCACAACCTCATTAGACTGTAGACTGAGTTGCTTAGAGAAAGTGGATGGAATTGCTCATTTTTTCCTTTTTAGCACAGCTGTAATTGCTTTCTCTTCAGCTCAGAGAGCTGTGCAAGGAAAACATGTTCATGAAAGGACAAATCGTTACTCTTGAAGCGACTATAAATGTCCATGAGATGGAGGTAAAAGCTAACAGAGAAACGATCATGAGGCTGGCGTCAGAAGTCAACAGGGAGCAGAAAAGAGCTGCCTCCTGGGCTGAGGAGAGAGAGAAGCTGAACCAGGTACATTGTGCTGAGGATGTGTGGCTGTGTGCCCGTGTGCCCCCTTCACAGAGCAGAAATGGAAAAACAGCTGTCGGTGAACACCCTGGAATTGTGGACCACAATCTCAAAGGCTGTTCTCAGTAGGAGGGGAGGCAACACGGGGTTAAGTGACCCGGGTGGGCCATTTGATATCCTCTCTGTCTCTCTCTTTCTCTGCATATAGTTTTTTTTTTTTTTGAATTGGAAGAAATACAAAATACTTTAAAGAATTTATAGAGAGGATAGCTTATGTTAATAGACAATAAGGATGTTTTTCAGGGATCCAAAGCCCTCTTCTGATCGCCACAGCGACCTCTATGGCATTGCAAGCATGTGATATATTTATATACATGCACACAAAATCCTCCTGCATATAAAAATCATAATAAATATTTAAAAAGGATATTTTTCAGATTGATGTCTTAGATTTTGAACAGACAGGCAATAAGTTTACAAGATTAGAAATTCTAAGTGTAGCAACGATAGTAAATGCAAGTCTCCATTTCCCCTCTCTCCCCAGCCACCCACTGTTCAGAGGGAATGTTACAATTGCTTTTTTTTACTTAATTAATGTGCGTGTGTTAGATGCACGTGTGTGTCCCTGTGAGATGGGTGTCTTTCTCGATTCCTCTCTGTCTTAGTTTTTGAGACAGGGTTTCTCACTGAATCAGGAGCGCCATGATTTGTTAGACTGAATGCCCAGAGAGCCCCCAGGATCCTCCTGTATCCATCTCCCAGCATTGGGATTATGGCCACAAACTGCCACACCTGGCTTTTTATTCTGATGCTCGGGATCCAAACTCTAGTCCTCATGTTTTCCAGTAAGCACTTCACCCACTGAGCCATCTTCCTAGCGCCTTTTACAATTTTTGATAGAATAACCTGATAAAAAGCAACTTTGGGGAGAAAAGGTTTATTTTGGCTTACAATCCCAGAGGGGATAGAGTCCATCATGGTGGGGAAGGCATGGGGCATGGTGACATGGGGCCTGGCAGTCAGGGAGCTGAGAGACCACATTTCATCTGCACACAGGAAGGAGAGAGAGAGAATGAATGAATAAGAAGTAGGGCCAGCTGAAACCTTAAAGCCCTTCCCCAGTGACATATTTCCTCCAGCAAGGCTCTACCTCTTAAAAGTTCCATAACTTTCCCAAATAGCCACCAGCTGGGGGCCAAGTATTCAAGTACCTGAACCTATGGAGACATTCTCATCAAACCACAGCAATCATATATAATTTTTCATGTGTCATGTGTCATATAAAATAAAATCTTAGAAGACTTGCTGGATCCAAGTATATAGATATGGTAATTCTGAGGGATATTGATCAAAGGAAATGACTCTTAATTGTAAACTTTAAAAAAAATTATTTTTATTTTATGTGTATGTGTGTATTGCCTGCATGTAGGTAAGTGCACCCGTGTCATGCAGTACCCACGGAGGTCAGAAGAGGCTGTTGGATCCCCTGGGACTGGAGTTACAGACAGTTGTTAGCTGCCATGTAGGTGCTGGGATTCAAACCCGGGTCTTCTGCAAGAACAACCAGTGTTCTTAACCACTGAGCCATCTCTCCAGCCCTTAATTGTAAACTTTTATTTATACAATGAATTGCCTGATCTTTTCCAACTAGCTAGAGCTTGTTTGAACATGAGGATGAATACCATGTGTTTAAATGATAGAATCCTTTAATTATGTTTTAAGTTGTGTGACAAAGAAACTCGTTATTGGATTAATAATAATGATTTACTTCCAAAAGTAAACTGAGCTGGTGCAGTCAGTTTATAAAAGTGTGATGTGGAGCTTCTGACTAGATAATGATTGGTACTCTGAGAAAGGAAGAAGGAAGGTCCAGTGGTCTCCAGGCTGAGCAGAATGCTGTGGGACTGGTGTGTGGTATCTTCCCTGTAACTTCCCTGTCTACAGTGATGTCACTGAGTATGATGGTGGTCCAGTACTGATGATAATTTCTAATCATTTCCATTTTTCTGCATCAACAAATCCTTAACATTAGTTTCCTCCCCTGACACTTCAGCCTGTGGGAAAAGCAAGGACTATCATTGTTATCTTGTCTTAGACTGCTTATGCTGCTGCAACAAAAGCCCATGGACTTGGCTGGTGGGATAGCTTGGTGAGAGGTGCTTGTCTAGCATGTATAAGGTGAGTCTCAGGACTACAAAAACCAAAAGAAAATGAAATTAAAAACATCCACAGACTGGATGGCTTAGACAACAGATATTTCTTCCTTGCAGTCTACAGGTACTAGTATGCATCTAACTGTGTTCTCATCTGAGAGAGAGAAGGAGGGATGGAGAGAGGGAGGAAGAGAGAGAAGAGAGAGAGAGAGAAAGGAAAGAGAGAGAAACTTGGTTGGCTGTTCTGGTACTTGCTTCATGGTCCAGGTTGGCCTCAAATTCATGGCAATCCTCCTGCCTCAGCCTTCTGAGGACTGAGATTATAGGTACATGCACTATATCCTGCCTTTTCAGTATAAATGTGCATTTTTTCTTCTACAATTTACATGAGGTATCTCTGGGGTAATATTTATGAGTTCATTTCTTTTTGTCTTGTTTTGTGGTTCTGGGGTTTGAACCTAGGGCCTCATGCATGGTAGGCAAGTGCTCTACTACTAAGTTGTATTCTTGGCTTTGTTCTTTAGGACATTACTAATGATATTTGTATCTATCAAATCTTGCCTGGATTAACATCATATCAGAGGTGGCAAAGTGATAATTTCTACTTTTATAACTCTTCCCATTTATCAGCTGTTAATCTCTCTGTCGCTCTGTTTCTCTCTGTTAAAGGAAGAAAGGTTTATTTAGCTCACATTTCTGGGTTATGGTCCATCTTGTCAGGGCGTTACAGTGACAGAAACTTGAAGAATCTGGTGACACTGAATCCATAATTAGGAACACAGAGTAATGAACGGCACATGCTTTAGCGGCTATCCTACAAAAAGCTTTCCTTTTTAATCTTATGGATCCATGGGTTTTGACTATTTTATTGTCCTCCAGTCAGTTATTCTCTTGGTATTCCAAATTCTAATTCATCCAGCAGAAGCCTCTTCAAGGTGGCCCTTGTGACCCTTTTGCTGTTTAATGCTTCTTTGCTTCATGGAAGAAGGCACCATCTCAGGCTCACTTAATCTTCAGGTTACCAACCCAAGCCAGCTAATTCAGTAAAGAATTTCGATTTCAATTACCAAGGCATGGTGCTTAGAGACCTTGCTTTTTCCTTTAAGTGTGCTTATTTCTTGAACACTTACCATCAGTATATTCATCATGTTAAGTGCTCAGAGAGAGTATGTGCTTTGTTCAAGTTCATATAGTTATATGGCAAAGCTGGGATCTGAACCCATGCTGTCCCAGTACTCTGCCTCTATTAGCCATTCCCTTTACATAACAGCCACAGCTACATCCTATATGTAAGTCTGTTGGAAGTGATTACTTATTAGTAAGCAGAAAAACAATAATAAATAGCTATGCTGATTTCCTCTTAAATAGTAACCTTTAAAAAGTAGTTCTGGAGAATAGCAGGAAACAAGAATAAAATGTTTTGTAATGTGACATTAAAAAAGAAAACTATTCCCTTTCTTATATAAGTGTCTTTCCTTGGGAGTGACTACGGCTGATGTAATAGTGTCCAGACTTTGGAAACACATTTGCTTTGGCTTGAGGTTCCTGCCAAAAATCATAAAAATTGTATAATAAAAATATGCGCAATAAAAAACCCGAGGTCTTTAATAAAGTGCTTATTCACAGAACTATTACTTCAATGATTTACTACCCCAAAATACTGTCAAGTGGTTTTACTGACACATTAATGGCCCATGAAGGATATTCAGAGTACTTTCAAAAGCACTTTTGAGGTAGGAAACTTACTTCCTTAGTGAAGTCCAGATGCTCTGAGGCAGAAGTGTCCACTGGATGGAGGAGGGGTTGGGGGGGGGGACTGGGACGGGGGATG